ATATTTGTAGTGTAATAAACCTGTATATTTGTAGTGTAATAAACCTGTATATTTGTAGTGTAATAAACCTGTATATTTGTAGTGTAATAAACCTGTATATTTGTAGTGTAATGCTTGGTGCTGGTCTACTGGCAAAGAAAGCAGTAGAGCTGGGGTTAACTGTTAAACCATACATCAAGACCTCCCTGTCTCCTGGCTCAGGAGTGGTTACATACTATCTCAGGGAGTCAGGAGTTATTCCTCATCTTGAGGTGAGTACCCTAATATTTCTGTTCGTAATCTCGACCGGACAAACAAATTTTGAACTTGTTGTTTTAAATTATAAGCAGAAAGTTAGTTATCTCCAAAAAAATGTTTGTAAAAATGTTGTTTTCTTAGATCGTTATATTTTCTTCTAATTAATGTGAAAATGTAATTTTTTACTAAATTAAAATGACTGTAAGCGTTATTTCAAGTGTTCATGCAAAGATGGCAATGTACGATTCACAATTGTACCCTTGAAACCCTTATCAGATCAAAAATACGGAAATTATTGTCGTTTTTCTAGGTTTAAAAGGTTTTATTTCTTATACTTCACATATGTTTTCCTGCAGTAGAAATGCGCAAGTCTTTATTTGTAGGGACCCCACAGTTAAAAATATGTAGCTTACATGAATATAAACATTACTATCTTATTCCTTCTAGATCAGACAAATCTTTAAAGAGTACCTTTGTAAATCGAGCATTGCCATCTTTGCATGGAATAGTTTCTAAATTCAAAAACAGATGTTTAATCTCATTCTTGAAATCATTCAGGCACTTTAATAAGATCAAAATTTTTGAAAATCATAAAAAAAAATATTTTTAGACTCTTGGGTTTGGTGTTGTTGGATACGGATGCATGACGTGTATTGGAAATTCAGGAGGGATATCATTCATTCATTCATTCATTCATTCATTCATTCCTTAGCCTCGTGCAAAATCCCATTTATTACTTCAAATATATTATCATGCACAGTCCCATTTATTACTTCAAATATATTATCATGATGAAAACTAATGAATGTATTTGGATTAAATTATTTTGATGATGATAACTAATGAATGTATTGGGATTAAATTATGTGTATGATGAAAAATAATGAATGTATTTGGATTAAATTATGTTTATGATGAAAAATAATGAATGTATTTGCATTAAATTATGTTTTTGATGAAAACTTATGAATGTATTTGGATTAAATTATGTTTATGATGAAAACTAATGAATGTGTTGGGGTTGAATTATGTTTTTGATGAAAACTAATGAATGTATTGGGGTTAAATTATGTTTATAATGAAAACTAATGAATGTATTTGGATTAAATTATGTTTTTGATGAAAACTAATGAATGTATTGGGGTTAAATTATGTTTATAATGAAAACTAATGAATGTATTTGGATTAAATTTTGTTTTTGATGAAAACTAATGAATGTATTTGGATTAAATTATTTTTATGATGATAACTAATGAATGTATTTGGATCAAATTATATGTATGATGAAAAATAATGAATGTATTTGGATTAAATTATGTTTATAATAAAAACTAATAAATGTATTGGGGTTAAATTATGTTTTTGATGAAAACTAATGAATGTATTGGGATTAAATTATGTTTATAATAAAAAACAATGAATGTATTGGGATTAAATTATGTTTACGATGGAAACTAATGAATGTATTGGGTTTACAGGTCCTCTCCCTGAAACAGTAGTAGAAGCAGTCGATAAGGTAGTAAATAAAAGATGGAAAATATATAAATGTATAATTAAAAATAATTTGAAAGGAAAATCATTCAAGTGTGAAGATGTAAAGAAGTTTTTTTTCTAAAATATATGAAATTTAAACAACAGACTTTTAATTTCTATTTTAAAACACGACCTTTTTAGGTTTAAATTACTTTTAAAATGACTGTAAGCGTAATTTCATTTGGACCTTCATGCTAAGATGGCAATGTCCGATTCACAATAGTACCCTTTTGAGCTTTGTTTTATCAAGATATCAATGTTTATAATTTTAGAAATAAAACTTTTTAACTTTATTGACAAGATCAAGATTTCAAGGATACCGTTGTGAATCAGGCATGGCCATCTTTGCATGAAGGGTAACTTAAAATTACGCTTTTAAAGTCCCTTTAAATTCTAGATTTCTCTTCTAATATTGTTTGAATAAAGGGAGACTTAGTATGCTGCGGAGTTCTGAGTGGAAACAGAAACTTTGAGGGTCGAGTTCATCCAAATACCAGAGCTAACTACCTAGCTAGCCCTCTTCTTGTTATAGGTAGTATATATCCCAATACCAGAGCTAACTACCTAGCCAGCCCTCTTCTTGTTATAGGTAGTATATATCCCAATACCAGAGCTAACTACCTAGCCAGCCCTCTTCTTGTTATAGGTAGTATATATCCCAATACCAGAGCTAACTACCTAGCCAGCCCTCTTCTTGTTATAGGTAGTATATATCCCAATACCAGAGCTAACTACCTAGCCAGCCCTCTTCTTGTTATAGGTAGTATATATCCCAATACCAGAGCTAACTACCTAGCCAGCCCTCTTCTTGTTATAGGTAGTATATATCCCAATACCAGAGCTAACTACCTAGCCAGCCCTCTTCTTGTTATAGGTAGTATATATCCCAATACCAGAGCTAACTACCTAGCCAGCCCTCTTCTTGTTATAGGTAGTATATATCCCAATACCAGAGCTAACTACCTAGCCAGCCCTCTTCTTGTTATAGGTAGTATNAGGCACAATGATTGATTGATATTAATGTTAACTATTTAGCCTACGCTATTGCTGGCAGAGTTGATATTGATTTCATCCTAATTTCTGTATATAGGCACAATGATTGATTGATATTAATGTTAACTGTTTAGCCTACGCTATTGCTGGCAGAGTTAATATTGATTTCATCCTAATTCCTGTATATAGGCACAATGATTGATTGATATTAATGTTAACTATTTAGCCTACGCTATTGCTGGCAGAGTTAATATTGATTTCATCCTAATTCCTGTATAGAGGCACAATGATTGATTGATATTAATGTTAACCGGTTAGCCTACGCTATTGCTGGCAGAGTTGATATTGATTTCATCCTAATTCCTGTATAGAGGCACAATGATTGATTGATATTAATGTTAACTATTTAGCCTACGCTATTGCTGGCAGAGTTGATATTGATTTCATCCTAATTCCTGTATAGAGGCACAATGATTGATTGATATTAATGTTAACTATTTAGCCTACGCTATTGCTGGCAGAGTTGATATTGATTTCGAGAAGGAACCTTTAGCTCATGTTAATGGAAAGGTATCTATCTATCTATTTATATATCTGAACCTTTAGCTCATGTTAAGGGAAAGGTATCTATCTATCTATATATATATCCAATAATCTATCTATCTGTCAATCTATCTACGGTGATAGGCGATTATATCAATATAATGAAGACGACTTTCTATTTCAATTTTGATTTAGATCAAGCTTTCAAACAGCATGGATACACAAAAACATGGATACAAAGAAAAACTGACAATTAAATACCACCGTATACATTCATTTTTTATTTATCTCTATCTATCTATCTTTATGTCAACGTATCTACAGCAGGGGGCGGAAACGTCATGTGTATGTGTCTGTACCAAAAGAGTGTGTGTTAGTTTAAAGTACCAAAGGTTTTTACTGTAGGTATATAGAGTACATACGAATCTCGGTATTTGTACAGTCTAGGAGAATACATTTGTTTATTGTTAATTGTTTACTTAGAAAAATTTAATATACATGTAGTATATTATTTATATATTTAAGTCAACACCATAAAGCCAAATTTTCATGCAAAGATTATAATTTGATTAAAGTTTACAATAAATATAGTCGTTATTCAAGCTTAATTATAATTGACAACATTGTTCTGCAATTTCCTTGACTGTAATCATGTTGTGTGTCTGTACCAAAAGAGTGTGTGTTAATTTACCGTACTGGTCTGCAAAGCAGTGCGACTGGCTTTCTCATGCCAGACCAGCACCATTTCCTTTCCCTTTATTCCTATTCCCTGATCTACAGTCTACATATCATAAACATCCATTATTTCAAGCTTCTAACTTTATCTCCAGTAGCCATCTTTCTTTTCCATCTTTATATCTATTCCATTTATCTTTTATTATTACCCCGTTTATTCATCTTTTTAAATATTTATTTATTTAATATTTATGTCTATCTTTCTAATCATTTAATTGTTTCTTATCTTTTTTGCTCTCCGTTTACAGGTCGATATTGTTTTTAAACTCCATCTTTTTAATCATCGTTTATTCAATAGTTATCCTTCTCTCCTCCTATTCATCTATCTATCTATCTATCTATCTATCTATCTATCTATTCTATCTGTCTATCTATCCGTCGATCTATCCTTCCATCTAACTACCATTCTATCTATCTATCTATCTATTCTATCTATCTATCTATCCGTCGATCTATCCTTGCATCTAACTACCATTCTATCTATTAAATCAATACATCAATTTTATCAATGTATCCATCTATAAACCTAATATCTATATAGATATCTTAAAATATAGCTACAGGGTGTCCCAACCTAATAAAAATGGGAAATAAAAGAGATGAATCGTCTTCTATTTCCGATAGACAAAGAGTTGTTAAAATAAATTATAAGCTTTTGGAAATGTGGTCTGCCTTCTTTGTATTTTCAGAATTGACGGAGATTTTAAACATTATGAAGCTTTCGTTGTGATTTAATAAATTAGACTCTTAATATCTCCGTCAATTTTGAAGGTGCAAATATGGTAGACCACACTGTGGAAGTCCCAGGACTAGTTGTTTGGATTATTAACTGTCTTTACTAGAATACTAAATAAAATGTGTTAACGTAATAATACCACGTGGAGCAAAGACGATATATAAGTCTTCACTTAATTCCCATGTTTATTGGGACACCATGTATCTATCTATTTATTTATCCACTTATATATCTATTTATTTATTTATTTATCAATCTATCTAGGATGTATTCCTGCATGAGATCTGGCCTACTCGAGAGGAAATCCATGCAGTAGAGAGTAAATATGTTATTCCAGCAATGTTCCAGGTAAAATCTTTTGTGATCATCGGAACTATAATTCTCCCTGGTTCATGGGGACTAATATTCTAGTATTCATCGGAACTATTATTATCTAGATCATGGGGACTAATATTCCAGTATCCATCCGAACTATTATTATCTAGATCATGGGCACTAATATTCTAGAATTCATCGGAACTATTATTTTCTCTAGATCATGGAACTAATATTCTCATATTCATCTGGACTATTATTTTCTACAGATCATGGGGACTAATATTCTAGTATTCATCGGAACTATTATTTTCCGGATCATGGGCACTGATATTCTAGTATTCATCGGAACTATTATTATCTAGATCATGGGGACTAATATTCAAGTATTCATCGGAACTATTATTTTCTCTAGATCATGGGGACTAATATTCTAGTATTCATCGAAACTATTATTTTCCGGATCATGGAGACTAATATTCTAGTATTCATCGGAACTATAATTTTCTGGATCATGGAGACTAATATTCTAGTATTCATCGGAACTATAATTTTCTGAATCATGGAGACTAATATTCTAGTATTCATCGGAACTATAATTTTCTGGATCATGGAGACTAATATTCTAGTATTCATCGGAACTATAATTTTCTGGATCATGGAGACTAATATTCTCATATTCATCGGGACTATTATTTTCTGGATCATGGAGACTAATATTCTCATATTCATCAGAACTATTATTATCTAGATCATGGAGACTAATATTCTCATATTCATCGGAACTATTATTTTCTCTAGATCATGGGGACTAATATTCTCATATTCATCGGAACTATTATTTTCTGGATCATGGGGACTAATATTCTCATATTTATCGGAACTATTATTTTCTGGATCATGGAGACTAATATTCTCATATTCATCAGGACTATTATTTTCTGGATCATAGGGACTAATATTCTAGTATTCATCGGAACTATTATTTTATGGATCATATGCAACCTTTATAGGGAATGTAACCTTAATGAAAATGTAACTTACATAAAAAATATAGCATTTTTAAATGTATGGATTTTCAAGAAGTATAAAGTAAGATCTCTACATATTTAGGAAGTATACAGTAAGATCTCTATTTATTTAGGAAGTATACAGTAAGATCTCTGTATATTTAGGAAGTATACAATATGATCTCTATATTTAGGAAGTAAACAGTAAGATCTCTATATTTAGGAAGTATACAATAAGATATCTATATTTAGGAAGTATACAGTAAGATCTCTGTATATTTAGGAAATATACAATAAGATCTCTATATTTAGGAAGTATACAGTAAGATCTCTATATTTAGGAAGTATACAGTAAGATCTCTATATTTAGGAAGTATACAGTAAGATCTCTAAATTTAGGAAGTATACAGTAAGATCTCTATATTTAGGAAGTATACAGTAAGATCTCTATATTTAAGAAGTATACAGTAAGATCTCTGTATATTTAGGAAGTATGCAATAATATCTCTACATTTAGGAAGTATACAGTAGGATCTCTTTTTGTAGGAAGTATACAGTTAGATCTATATACTTAGGAAGTATTCAGTAAGATCTTTTTTTAGGAAGTATACAGAAATATCTCTATATTTATGAAGTATACAGTAAGATCTATACATTTAGGAAGTTTTTAGTAAGATCTCTATATTTAGGAGGTATACAGTAAGTTCCATATATTTAGGAAGTATACAGTAAGATATTTATATTCAGGAAGTATACAGTAAGATCTCTATATTTAGGAGGTATACATTAAGATCTATATACTTAGGAAGTATACAGTAAGATCTATATACTTAGGAACTTAGGAACTAGGAAGTTTACAGTAAGATCTCTATATTTAGGAAGTATACAGTAGGATCTCTATATTTAGGAAGTATACAATAGGATCTATATATTTAGGAAGTTTACAGTAGGATCTCTATATTTAGGAAGTATACAGTAGGATCTATATACTTAGGAAATATACAGTAAGATCTTTATAATTAGGAAGTATACAGTAAGATCTATATATTTAGGAAGAATACAGTAAGATCTATATACTTAGGAACTTAGGACCTAGGAAGTGTATAGTAAGATCTCTATATTTAGGAAGTATACAGTAAGATCTCTATATTTAGGAAGTATACAGTAAGATATCTACTGGGAATAATAACTGGAATAAACTATCTGCTCCTGAGAGTGAACTTTATCCCTGGGATGCTGCTTCAACTTATATCAAGAACCCTCCCTTCTTCCAAGGTTATTAAAGAGGCTCATCTCGTTTTCAAAAATGATTTGAGTTTATTTTTGATCACAAACAAAGATTGTTCACAAATTTGAAAGTAAGAAATGATTACAAATTCTAAAATTATAAATGTCGTCGTCCCCAGCATGACGGTTGATCTAGCCTACATTGCCTGCTGTATATTGGATTATATGATAGTGCACTGATGGCCTGACTTATTGGACATCTTTAGAAGTTTTCACTACCCTATGTCCTGTCCCAGTTAACAATATTAACAATATTCGAGACCGAATTTAAAGAATTTGAGCAGACTACCTACCAACCTACCTACCTACCTACCTACCTACCTACCTACCTACCTACCTACCTACATACCTACCTACCTACCTACCTACCTACCTATCTGTTCTATGTTAGGTATGACCCCTGATCTGCCTCCTAAGCAGCCTATACAGAACGCCTATGCACTTCTTCATCTTGGAGACTCTGTCACCACGGACCATATCTCCCCTGCTGGGAGTATTCCCAGGTAAAGGAGGAACTAAATCTTAGCATTCTAAAATATATTTTTGAAAGATTTTTTTTTTAAATTGATCCGAATAATAGATAAAATCTAAAACACAGAGTCTAAGAATAAAAAAATTGTTGGATACTGCAGATTAAATATTAGCTGCCTAATAGATAGATTAATATTGATGAATTAGTTAATCTTTAAGTTGATTGATTGAATTGTTGATTATTCATAAAATAATTAATTGGTTAACTGATTAATGAAATGATTTATTGATTGATAAAATGATTTATTGATTGATTAATGGATAATTGATTGATGGATGGATGAATTCATTGACGGTACATTGATTCATTAAATCAACAATAATAAAATTACTGATAAATTTATTAAATTTTTAACTGTTGATTAATTGATGATAGTTTAAGTAATTGATTAATTAAAACTTTTAATTGAATAATTAATTTATTGATTTATTGATTAGTTAGTTAGGAGACTTTATAGATAATTGATTGATTGATTGACTGCGCAGGAACTCCCCTGCTGCCCGGTATCTGGGCTCCAGGGGTCTGAACCCCAGAGATTTCAACTCCTTTGGATCCAGGCGCGGTAACGATGCCGTGATGGCCAGGTAGCATTTTTTACCCTTTTATTTTTTTCTCGTAATTTACTTTAAATTCTTAAGTTTACCTTCTTGGTCCTTTATCTGATGATATAAAACCTATATTATTATCTGATGATATAAAATCTATATTATTATCTGATGATATAAAACCTATATTATTATCTGATGATATAAAATCTATCTGAATTTTTGAGCTTTTTATCGTAAAAAGAAGAGAAATCAGATAAGCTTTCTGAATCATTATTTTATTTGTTTTTTCCTAATTTTATTGATTCCTTAACTGTATATTGGTGTCTAGTTCTTTAATCTAATTTTTTTTTTGACCTTTCAGATTTTTTTATATTTTCACCTTTTTTTTGATGTTTTTTTTGTAAATATATTGATTCATAACTTATTTTTTCGAAGTGTCTTCCTTTTACATTTTACAAATAAATTAGCTCTGTATATTTGTATTTTCACTCTTGGTTAACCAATTGTTTTGAATTATAACTTTTTGTAAACAATTACGATTTTTTTTTGGGACGAACAATATTTTTCGTGAACTTGGTTTCGTTTAGAGAAAAAAACGAACTTGGGTCGTTTTTAAAAAACCACCTTATTAAAATCGTTCGAACAAACTTGAAACAAAAACAAACGTATTTATTTCGGAAATCGTTTAGTGAGAAAACGAATGAAATAGAAAGTAAATTAACAAAAATTTAAAAAAAAGAACGAAATAAATTTTTTGAACTATTGAAATAAATGAACGAAATGGATCGTTCACGACACGAACGAAAGGAAAAAAGGCAAGCCATCTCTATTCTAAATTGTTGATTATTTTAGCTGTTAAAATGATATGTTTGGTTTGTTTAGAGGAACATTTGGTAATATTCGCCTTGTAAACAGATTCATTGGGAAGGCAGCTCCTAAGGAAAGAGAACTGAATACAAAACGTTATAAAAACTGTTAAGAAAATTACCTTAAAGGGACTCTGGACGTAATTTTANATGTGTGTTTAAAATTCCACGGGCAACGGCGGGCTCTTCAGCTAGTTACTGTATACATATATTACTTTATAGGAGTATGCTGCATCTAACAGTTCCTTAATAATACTGGCTGGAAAGGATTATGGCAGTGGTTCTTCTAGAGATTGGGCCGCCAAGGTAACATGATTTTTTAGTGTAAGCTGTAGTGTCCACAGTGTACACTCGTCTATCCTGAAGATTTGAAAAAATGAGTTTTATTTTTAAAAAATAGATGAAGAATGTCGATTACTGTAATTACTGTAAAACGATTGATTTATATTTTAACTTTGACACTTTTCTTATACAATTAGATACTGCTTTTAAAGTCACATTTGTCATCCTTAGGTTGGAACTTGTGTATTGTTGTATCGTAAATGCTTGATCTCAATATCCAATGTGAACACTTTTTTATTTGAGGATAAATTCTTGATCCCTTAATTAAAGTGATCCCTGCAGGGTATGATCATTAATTAATCCGTAGATCCGCATAACATGAATATCAATGCTTAAAACTATGATCTATAATACAACATTTCTTTCTTCTTAAATTATTTTAATTTTTGTTATTTTTGTTATTTTTCTTTATACAACTCACTCTAATGTTTTTATAATTAAGATACTTTTTAATAAGTTTTGCATTAGTGACCCTTGTTGCTATTAATAAAATGCTGTGTCCAAGGTTATAATGCAAGGAAAGTTAATTGCAGTTGCGTATATTCTGTGTACATATTGAAACCAGTTCTCTCTGGGCTGTGCTTATTAACAAGAATAGATGCATCAGTGTTCGTTTAGTATCCGAGGAGGTTAAAAGCATTAAATTTTACTTATTATGATAATTCACATAATAGTTTCCTTTGACCAGAATATTTCATTGATTTTTTATGTGAAAGATGGATCCCATGTCAGGCTTCGACATCTGTCTTGTGTTTACATTACCGCCCAGAGACAGTGCACTGCAGTACAAAAGATGCGTACACATCTGAAATAACTTTTCTTGCATTAGTACCTTGGCTATGTCTATTTGATCAATTGCTGAATTTGTGAATTTAATGTTGGTTAATGAACCTTCATGTTATTTATAGTCGTCGTTGGATATATTTTAAAACAACGAAGACGACTTTTCTATTTTAATTTTGATTTTGACCAAGCTTTTAAACAGCTGAGACACTAACATGTAAACAATGAGCAGTTGTCAATTAACAGCTTCTCTTTGTTCACATGTCTACATGTAAACAATGAGCAGATGTCAATTAACAGCTTCTCTTTGTACACATGTCTACATATAAACAATAAGCAGTTGTCAATTAACAGCTTCTCTTTGTACACATGTTTACATGTAAACAATGAGCAGTTGTTAATTAACATCTTCTCTTTGTTCACATGTTTACATATAAACTTCCAATTGAAAAACACGTTATGGATCAAAGCATTTTTGATCAAAAGTCGTCTTCACTGTATTGTCAAAAACGCAGACTACTGTATAATATACTGTAATAAGGGTCCTTTCTTGCTGGGGATCAAAGCTGTAATAGCTGAATCATACGAGAGAATTCACAGGTATTATTATTATTATTCTTGTTGTTATCATTGTTATTTTGATTATTTATTCATGTTTTTCTTGCTATTTTAAATTTTTTTTTAACCCATGCAGATTTTACAGATTTTGTTTTTCCTCAGAGTTTAAGTTTCTATGAAACTATGTTCAATGTCATTATATCAGAGGCAAATACTTCTGATTGAAAAAATAAAGAATAGTTTGAAAGATAGGGGACCAGAAGCCGAACTTAAAAAATTTAAAACTGCGTCGCTGATCCATCAAAAACCGTGTCCAATTGAATGTCGACTCAAATACAATTTCAAGTGGAATTAACCATGTTTGAACCGAGTCTTATATTTAAGCCAGGTCTCATATTTGAGCCGCGGCATAACTTCTTAAAATTCCACCTCAGGGGTGTCCATTACCTACGACTTTAGTTAACTCAGTGAGTTATGAAAACATTTAGAATTAAAAAGTTTTGAGCTTAGGTCCAACCTGGCTGGTATGGGAATAGTTCCTCTAGAATATGAGAAGGGACAATCAGCAGACTCATTGGGTCTTACAGGTAATAATAATAATAATAATATATTTCGACATTTAAATTATTTTTTTTTACAATTTTGTCGAGACTAAAAGAGGTCTGAGGCCGTTATAAACAAGTCATAATACTTAAAAATAGAACATAATGAAAATGGAAAAAGTTAGTCCCACTGATTACCCGCGTTTTGTCGTAAATTACGATTTTAACTATTTTTCCCAATAAAAGTCGATCCACTCAACTTACCGAGTTTCCCAATCAAAATTTGAGGCAAATGGGTTTAGGGGTTCCTGAGTTATGATCGTACAAACAGACACCCAAACAGAGATTACAACTTAATATATATAGATACTCACTTCATACTGAATTTTATTATTGACGTGCTGTAATGTTAAATTAGCTGTAAATTATAGCACCGTGCTATAAAATTAAATTAGCTGTATATTAAAGCACCGTGCCATAAAGTAATCATCGTACTATAATGTACAGCTAATTAAATTTTATAGCACGATGATTACTTTATAGCACGGTGCTATAATGTAAAATTAGCCATACATAATAGCACCGTGCCATAAAGTAATAATCGTACTATAATATTAAATTAGCTGTACATTATAGTAACGTGCCATAAAGTTTTGATTGCTTCCCGGATTTTCTCCAAAACATTTAGGATATTTACAAAATATTGTTTCAATTTAGATGATAATAACTATTTATAACACTGTTATTTTGATTCGCAGTATTATAAAGTTTTTGGACAGAATTTTGTCTTTATCGAGAAGGTTCAAGCCTTTTTAAATTTAATTTTGTCCCGAGCTTAAGCGAGGAATAAACTATAATTCAAAAAGGCGAGAACCTTCGAGCATGTCGTGCCAAAATAATAGTGTTATAGTATTATAGCTATTTCTAGATCAAATAAGCTTTGAAACAAAGCAGAAGTAAAAGTATAAAGTTGATTTCAATTTTATTTTCATTTTAATTCAATTGAAAAAAAAAACATTTTGGAAATATCCTAAATTTTTTGAGAACATCTGGGAACCAATAAAACTTTTTAGCACACGTGCTATAATGTACAGCTTATAGCACGATGATTACTTTATAGCACGTTCACGATGAAGTGAGTAAGAATGATAAAGTACACAATAGTTTCATGGAGTTAAAGAAATAACTAAAACTTATTATTTCTGCTTTGAAAAAGTTTATTTTATCTAGAAACAGTCATTGCATTAAGTATACAAACATTTCATACTATTGCCTGTAACACTTATTCTGGCACGACGTTTTCTAGCTTAAAGTTGAACCTTCTTGAAATATAGAAAATTTCTGTACGAAGTAATAATGTTTCAAATAGTTATTTTATCCTAAACACGATGGTTTGTTTCTTCTTTATCACATTAAACATTTTGATTTTTTTANACTCTACACTCTACACTCTACACTCTACACTCTACACTCTACACTCTACACTCTACACTCTACACTCTACACTCTACACTCTACACTCTACACTCTACACTCTACACTCTACACTCTACACTCTACACTCTACACTCTACACTCTACACTCTACACTCTACACTCTACACTCTACACTCTACACTCTACACTCTACACTCTACACTCTACACTCTACACTCTACACTCTACACTCTACACTCTACACTCTACACTCTACACTCTACACTCTACACTCTACACTCTACACTCTACACTCTACACTCTACACTCTACACTCTACACTCTACACTCTACACTCTACACTCTACACTCTACACTCTACACTCTACACTCTACACTCTACACTCTACACTCTACACTCTACACTCTACACTCTACACTCTACACTCTACACTCTACACTCTACACTCTACACTCTACACTCTACACTCTACACTCTACACTCTACACTCTACACTCTACACTCTACACTCTACACTCTACACTCTACACTCTACACTCTACACTCTACACTCTACACTCTACACTCTACACTCTACACTCTACACTCTACACTCTACACTCTACACTCTACACTCTACACTCTACACTCTACACTCTACACTCTACACTCTACACTCTACACTCTACACTCTACACTCTACACTCTACACTCTACACTCTACACTCTACACTCTACACTCTACACTCTACACTCTACACTCTACACTCTACACTCTACACTCTACACTCTTCACTCTTCACTCTTCACTCTTCACTCATCACGTAAACTAATCTAAATCGGTTCTAACTCTTAACTCTTTCTTTTTTCTCATTGGTCCAACATCAAACTGGTCATTTGAACCGATTTTAATTATTTTCATCCGCTCACAAGTATCCAGCACAAAGAAATTGAGTCTTTGCCACAAACTCGGATTTTCTCATCTCTTTCTCTTTGCAACACAATGTCGTAGACCTTAAATATGAATTCTGATAGTTTAGATAATCTAAGTTTGAAATATCATAGGTTTACACGATCAGGTAACCAGGTTGCAATATATACAGAGATCGGAAAATTTGAGTTTGTGGCAAAGACTCAATTTCTTTCTTTTCACATTATTACATTTCAAATAAAAATGATGATAAAAAGAAGTTTAAACAGCGAATATCAAGAACAATATGGCATAAATACGTTTTTTTTTTACTTTTATATCTTTTCTTGTATTTTTAAGGTTTGATACTGAGCCTGAGTTAACCTACTACCGCCATGGTGGAATATTGAACTACATGGTCCGTAAACTGGCCGGGGTTGCTAACTGAGATTCCCGCATTTTCTCAGTTCCGCCATTTTTCTTTTTGAAAAATCCGCGGAAATATTATAACTTAAGCACAGTTGTTCTTGTAATTAGGAAACAATAATTCAAAAATTGAAAATTACAAAGCATTTATTTTGATATGTTTTATACTTGTTATTAATATTTTGATCGTATTTTCAATTTAAACAGTGATTTGAACATTGTGATTCCAGTTCTTATATTTGTAGAATTATTGCCATATAACTTTACGAATTTGATACTTTTTAAAGGAATTGTTCTCATACTTCAGAAAACTTATATTACTCCCATTTTTAGGTTTAAAAGTGCGTACAAGTTGTCTTATTGGTTGGTTCAATGTTCGGAAATATTTGAAAAATTGCACGAAATTTCCCTTAAACTGGTTTTTTAAGACCCATATGCACTTCTTTGTGTACAGATTGAAAGGTGGTCAAGAATGTTTGCACTTTGTGTACAGAATAAAATAGAGTCGATAATTTTGAAATGGGCCAAACCTAGATAAAATTATTTTATCATTTGAGTAAATTATTTGTTCTACACCGCATGGTCCATGGTCCATGATCAGGTTAGTGATGGTGTACCCTAGCCATACCAGGAAGCTGTTGGACAATCTATACCTTCATTTGATTCAAATTTATTTGCTTAAAATTATTAAACTCTTTTACAGTTGATGCCCTTGTCTTGAAAACCTTATATTTTCATCTTCAGAATGCACTGGCAACCTATATACACTATTATTATTAATTGACTTGTAATCAGGGAAAATATATTTTCATACAAAGATTATACTTTTATTAACCTTGTACACTGTACAGATCAGACACAGGAAAATTAAAAATACAATTCCGATTTTTTAGCCAACCGTTGTTGCACTAATTGCTTTTAATATCATTTTGAAACTATAATTTATTTAAGATAATATTTATTAAATTACAAATTTACCGCTAAAATATCACATTTATTTTAAATCACTACAATTTAAGGATATGTTTTACGTTATGTTTCGAAAAGGAAATGCAACATTCTCATTAGAAATTTAATTATTTTAAGTAAGTCGTGTCGGATTCACGATGAGGACCCTCTAGACTAATGATAAATTAAAAATAATAAACATGTTGTCATTTTTCATATCTTGTCGCTTTTCCAGAGAATAAAAATAAATTTTCATACTGGAAAAACAGGGTGTCTCAAAAACATGGAAATTCAGTGATGAATTGGATATCTTCATTGTTATGATTAGCATTGTAATATCTAATTTCAAAAGCCATAATAGTATTATGTCTGCTAGAGTTTATTTTATAAAAAGTGTAAAAGACTGTAAAGATGTGTCTATAATGTCTCCGCAAGATGAACAGTGAAGACAGACAAGTTTACTCTGATTGTATACTGCAATTTTCTTGTTTTACTAAGTACAACCGTATGCAGTCAAAACATAAACAAACAAAATGTGAACATAGCAGACGAAACTCTTACAGATTACAGCTTTCTCAGTAGGTATCACTATACTGAATCAAAGAATTATTATGGGTCTCACAATTTGGTGTAAAATTGTCTTAGATAAATGCAGTCTAAACAGGGAGGGTTATCGATAAATAGATTATTCATCAAGATATAAAATTTTTGATATTGAAGATTGTAAATGTCTGCCTACAGTTCTTGTATAAAACGTGCTGGGTCGACTTTCCACCGGGTAGTCATAGACTGGTCGGTACGACTGAGCTAATCTACGGTACAACTTAACGGAAAAATTCTTGTACCATGCGACATAGTCAAGGATTAGATTATTCTGTATGAATGTCAGATTCATCGGATACATCTTCGTCATCATCATCTTCCTCGTCTTCTTCAACATCTTCTTCCACCTCATCAGCTTCATCACTTGATGCCTAGAATCACAAAGGATGAGACTTCAGAGATGGAATTAATATCGTTTTTTTTAACATATGCTGCCCTGCATTTAAAAACGAGCTTTTTTCTTTATCGAACCATTTCATAAACCAATAAATTGAAGACAGGCGACCAAATCGTAATATCTTAAGATGTGAGGTCGTCTTTATCGTCTCATCCTTGGTTGGGAACCCTGTACTTTTGATCTTTAAAACAGTTTATCTGTTTGTTTATTTGTTTGTTTGTAAGTCCGATTTTATCTCAAGAACTTCTTCACTGATTTGCCCCACATAAAATTATTCTATTACTATGGTTTGCAGTGCTGTAAAATTGATTATATGATTTTCTCCTTTCTAGACATTTTCCCACAGAAGACTTCTTTGTTACTTTGCAATACATGTCATTTTGACCAAATCTTGGCTAAATAAGAAATTCTGAAAAAAAAGGTTTCCTCACAGATATGTATTGATGATAAGCACCGTTGTAAAGTCAGTTTTAAACATTTTTTTCGGCGTTTAGGAGGCCCCAACAGAAACAGATGTTTATCCCTTTTCAAAAAAGTCTGCTCAATAAGCTTGTTTTTTCACATTATGCACAAATTTACTCGGACCAAAAATATAAACCAAAATTTGTTTTCAAACGATAAAATCGTAAATTTGTAAAATTTGTAAAATTGTTCTGAAAAATCGGATTTAACCATGGAATCGACATTTCTTTTAACCCTTGAATGTTTTCAAACGATGTTTACTCACAGTGCATTTAAGCTTGCTCGGGGGGGGGGATTCTTCAAATCACCTGGGAAGAATAATCTTTTTCTTCATCTTCTTCTTCTTCTTCTTCTTCTGGTTTTTTAGAAGCAGTATTGGAAGTAGCAGCAGCTGCATTAGCTGCAAGCCGTTTCAAAACAGAACTCTTCTTCCTACAATAAGTATTTTTTTAAAGAAGCTGAAACATCAAGGTTCAATTTTTCATTTTTAACCGAAGTATAAATTTCCGAGTCATTTTTACAGAAAAACCACTCTTGAAAATAATAAATTCAAAGAAAGAAAAGGATGGATTACTTTTTCATTCTTTATCAGTCAAAGCTTTAAGGGAATCGGACATGACACTTTATAAATATAGATGGAGAGTCTATTGAAATTATGTCAACAAACAAGAAACAGAAAATATCTAATTTATTCCTGAACCTTGCAAGAGGATATATTTTCAACATTAGCTGATTTTCAAACTTTTATTTTTTTCAATTGGGCCTTAAAATGCATTATTTATATTGACATTACAATATAGTAAAAAAATCGATTGTAAGTGGACAAATTATTATAGAATTTCAGAGTACTTTGCCCCCCCCCTCCCCCTCCCGTTACAGCTCTATAGGCTAATAATAATGCTGAAATATATATATTTATATATATGTTAGCTATAGCTGGCCAAACGGCTGGACCAAATTGACTGAATTTTTTTAGGTAACCCATGGGTACCCTGGAGGAACATAATATGGTAAAAAGAAGTCAAATTATGAAAGAATTTCAAAAGGCTCCTTAAATCTCTATAGTCTAATATAGTAAACACAAATCAGCTGTGGGAATGATTGAAATCAGCTGATGTTACTGTGAAGTGCGAACACAGGTAAAGTTGACCGGAATTTAGAATAGAACAGTTGAGATTGAAATGTTTACAAATATATAAATATAGATTTAGAATATTTAGTGATAACACTGCACTCATTGTGAAAGAGAGTTCACCAAAACAGTTCTAAGATAACAATGATGAAAGGCTTGAGAAAAGTTTTTAATTCTCACAATTTTCTCCACTTTTCTGTCCTGTAAATCCGCAATTCGCTTGTTTGGAGATTGAAAAAAATTAATTTTCAGATAAAAAACATGGATATCTCTTTCATTCTTGATTAGACACAGATTTTAAGAGTACCATTGTGAATCTGACATGCCACTCTGTACATGGAGGTTTACTTGAAATAACGTCTGCACTCTGCAGGCCCTTTAAAGAATCAGAATCATGAATTCCTTTAAACGATGGAGTGAAAACCAGTATGCTGTTGAAGAGCTTTGTTTGTATCTTCAAGAGAAAGACATTTCCGCTCTCTGTTGTGTTAGTAAAGCTTGGAGAAAAGCTTTAAACATCAATCCTGTCTGGGCCAGGATAGTCACTGCCAGAGGAATCTTTAATCAATCTTTAATATCCAGAGTTAACGAGGATCTTGGAGATTCTAGAGTTAAAGATGATCCTGGAGATTACAGAGTTAAAGAGGATCTTGGAGATTCCAGAGTTTCAGAGAATCCTGGAGATTCCAGAGTTAACGAGGATCTTGGAGATTACAGAGTTAATGGGGATCTTGGAGATTCTAGGGTGTCAGAGAAGCCTGGGGATTCCAGAGTTAAAGAGGATCTTGGAGATTCCAGAGTTTCAGAGAATCCTGGAGATTCCAGAGTTAACGAGGATCTTGGAGATTCCAGAGTTAAAGATGATCCTGGAGATTACAAAGTCACTGAGTTTTCTGGAGATCTCAAAAGTTTTGAGGATCCTGGAGATTCCAGAGTTACTAAGGATTCTAGAGATAACAGAGGTTCTGATAATCCTGGAGATTACAGAGGTGCTGATGATCCTGGAGATTCCAGAGTTAACGAGGATCTTGGAGATTCCAGAGTTACAGAGGATACTGGAGATTACAGAGTTACTAAGGATTCCAGAGATAACAGAGGTTCTGATAATCCTGGAGATTACAGAGGTGCTGAGGATCCTGGAGATTCCAGAGTTAACGAGGATCTTGGAGATTCCAGAGTTAAAAATGATCCTGGAGATTACATAGTTACTGAGAATCCTGGAGATTACGGAGGTTCTGAGGATCCTGGAGATTACATAGATTCTGAGAATTCACAAAGCTTGGAGCCCTCTTGTTATTGGGCCAGGGTTCTACAGTATAGCGCAAAACTTAGGCATCGGTGGAGAAATGGAGAAGGAGTTAAAACTTCTTTTTTAATTCCAGAATGTGTCAAATCATCCAAAATTGCTTGCTTTGATGCAGACCCTGATTTCCTGGCTGTAGGGACAGAAACTGGATATTTACTTGTCTTCAGTACAAAATCAAAACAATTGCAGTACACCAACATTGTCAAACAATCAAAAATTGAGAAGTTGTATGTGAGGCATTCAAAAATAGTTGCCGTGCAGTTCGGCTTGATTCAAGTTTATAATATCTCTTCTGAGCTGAACTTTATATTTTGTAAATCCATTGAATCCCAAACTCAAAGATCAGAAAACTCTCTTGATCCGTTCCACGTTCCAAAAGTTAGCATTCAGCAGATGCGAAGCAGATATGGAAGAAATGGAGACGTTGACATATCCAAACTAGATCTAACTGTATCTGCCATAGGAGATCAGACATTGGGTTTAGTCAAGTCTGGAGAAACTTCATTTTATGTCTACAGTTTGGAAACTGGAGACTGTATGAGCAGAGTTGAATCTGAGAAAGATGAAAAGATATTGAAAATTGAACTTGTTCATGTTCCAGGGATTTAATGAATTGCGAGAAGTCGTTGAACTACATGAAGATGGTTTAATCCATATAGATTCTAGTAGAATAGAAGGCAATATAGAATTTTTAGACTCTTAGTACAGCTGTATTCTGACGTCATAGGTGTCAATTCAGTTTTTGTGTCTGACAAAATTATTAATATTAGTGATGATATTAGAATAAAGTGCTTATCTTACAGTAAAATAAGTGCAATTTTTTGAGTTATTTATTTTCTGTTTTTACACTTTTTTATTTAATCTTGCAAAACATTTCAACTGATATCAGAAAATTTCGTTTTCCTTGTTATATTTCAAACTTGTGAAGTCGTGTATAATTGATCCATTTTTCTGTTGCCACCTACTGAACTTGATAATCTATTTGGTTTAACCATGTATCTTTGGAATAACTTTAAGTTCTTAAATTTTTAACTGTCCTTGTGAATAAGAGTCGAGGTTTGTTCCAGCCAATAGATGAATGAATCTGATATTTGCGCCGCTCTGATTGGTTGAAAACGTCAGGTAATTTATCTGCGTCAGCAGACTTCAAATAGGTGCTATACAAAATCCTGAATTTTAAATCGTTGATTCGTGATTTGAACCAGTGAGCACTTGAGAAGCAGTTGAACCAATGGTTATAGGTAGTTCAGCAACCACTCTCCAATTCATTAAATTCGGTCCAAGGATCTGAGGATCTACTATATGCAGCAGTTGAGGATACAAATCATCACCTATCTGGAATCATGTTTGATATAAAACAGAAATGCAAAGTGTGGAAAATTGATCTTCATGCATATTTCAACTATAAACTATTTGCTATGTCGACTCAAAGAGGTTTATTGATGTTTGGAAGAAATGACACAGATTCTTATCCATATACATGGACATGGAAATCCTGGTCCTATCAGGGTATATCCGAGTATAGTTATGAGTTTGAGACAGAATATGACATGTATCTAGCAGACTGTAACAAGGATGCTGTAATAACTCCTCAAGAAATGACATATTTATTTGCTGGAGATTCAACTCTAGTATTTACCCATAGAACCCATCGAGGGATTTCAACGCTAGCCTACAGTTGGCCGGGACAATCTACCAAGCTCTGGAAGATCAGTAATAAGTCAGGAATTAGATCCGAGGCAAGTGTTCCTTTATGTGGCTCTGATATGGCTGGACTTGTAGTTATAGGTAGGGCTGGGCACGTTCTTGATTTAAAATAGACCTTCTTGATTGTTTGATAAGAAAAGAGTTTTAGCCAAATCGTTTTCTCCTTTCTTCGTTCTTTCCAAGAGAACTCTAAGCTGGGAACTTTTTTTGGATACGCATAATCCCGATTAATTGATCTTGATATTCACTATGGGCACTTTTACTTTGAGGATCTGTCATCATTTAAGTTATTTCTCCCTTGATCAAAGCTACCTTCAACTCCTGACTGGGTACGATTACCGTGCGAGATAACTAAAAAGAATTTAACTAATCTGCAGATTAACATTGAGATCCAACATTGATCTTGATATTAACAATGCACGAGTTCCCAGCTCTGAAGTAAGAAGTTTTATGTTGGGAATCTCGGCACTGTAAATGTAATGTTAAGTGACCTTCCATTTCCATCCCTGATTCACTATGGTACTCTTCAAAGCTTTGACTGATCAAGGATGTTGTAGCATATATCCGTATTAATCTACTCAAACGTTTTTAATTGTTAAACACTTTGCACTTTGTTTGCAATATTTAAGAAAAATCAATTATAGTTCCTTTTCAGAAGTATCAGAAAATGAAAAATTTACATTTGACTGTTTGAAATCCGCTTTTAACGTACAAAAGACTATATTAAAAAGAGCCGCAGACACTAGTAACGGATCAGCATGGCAGTTCAGAAGTTCCCACGAAACATGATAGTTAGTATAGTTTAGAATGTCTTCTTCCAGAATTTTTTACGTTTTTTAATGACAATAATAAAAATATTATATAGGAGTCAGCAAAAGATTTGTTTACAAAATAAACCTTTAATATTTAATACAGTGTATGGAAGACAATATTCAAAACTATTTACTAACTGTCATGTTTCATGGGACACCCTGTAGATTACAAGTTACAACGGGTTTTAGAACGATTCAGCAGCTATCTAACATATTTACACACTGAGCATCTCTACTCGATAAACAATCAAAGGTTTAAAACCAACCAAAATCGTTTTTTTTCATTGGCCCTAACTCCTTAAGTCTAGCCAAAGATCTCGCAGCTATGATTGGGTCTTAAAAAAGGGTCTAAGGAATTACGACCAGAGCCGAAGCTTTTCAATCATCGGCCCAGCCATTTAAAGATTTTTAGTTTTAAAGATTGTTAACAACGCCCAGCTCTAATCCTAGGCCAAGGAGATTCCAGATTAGATTTAAGAGATTTAAAAACTAGCAGGCTGGTCACACAAATAGACCTTGATGGACCCTTCACCAACCTCTGGGCGAACGATCTCAAGATTGTAGCGATCAATAAAGATCTCAGCGCTGATCATCCTGTTTCAATTATTTCGTTTGAATAAATTTCTTTTATGTTGTTTTACTTGCTTAATCAGTCAATTTCATCCTTAAAGGGAGTGTTCACGAAAAATGCAAGGGGGAATAGGCCGAAAACAAATATCGCTAATAATTTTACTTTTATCTCCCTTTAAATCAACCCAGAACTGGTCTCTTTTTGTAATTATCAATATTTATTCAAAATATTTAACCATTTAACCATTTTGTGACAGGAAGTATTTCGTAATAGAAAAAGCTTTGTGGTGGATAAATTGTGCAAAGAAACAGTTCGCGAGCAAATATTTGGCAAGGAAACATTTTGCAAGGAAACAATTTCCAAGAAATTTTGCAAGGAAACATTTTGCGAGAAAAATTTTGCTATGAAAAACTATTTGTCGGTTTAGACCAAAATAATGTTGTTGAACTTTTCTCCCCTTGGAATCAAAATACCCATAGATAAAGATAGATTGAGCATAAGACGACATTTTTCATCTTGAAAGATATTTTTGTACAGAGATGTTTTAAAGATATTCCTATTATATAGATTAACTAGGTCGGTTGTGAACATTGGCTGTTCTTATGTCATTGAGTACTTGTGGTGTACATGAGTTCTGTAGAGAGAAATTTAAGTTAGTTTAGTCCTTCTCATGTCCTTCTTCAGTTCTCGTCAATATGAAATATTGCTCAGTGAAATATTGTTGTTCAAATAGTTTCTTTCCCGAAGTTATTTTACACTCTAATATGAAATCCATTAAAACACCAAACCACCCCGCTTATCATTGAATTTACTTTGACCCCTAGAAGTATGAGTTCGCGGACTGTACGATTCTTGGTGATTTTTCGTACATAACCTATCTATGTTTATTTATTTATCTATGAAAATACCTTTCCGTGATGTTCGTAGCTCCAGCTCCAGCATTGAAAGACACGTTGAATCTTGAAATATCTACTCCACCACTCAACAAATTTTTTCCTCCTGGATATGTTTTATTTAAAAAAAGATATATTTTTGTTGTTACAGAAAAAAGGCACAAAAATATTGAAACATTTTCTATTTTTATTGATTAACTTTTTAAAATTTTTGTTTTCATTCAATTTCAAATAGAAGATATAAAATATCTTTTACCTTTTAAATCTGATTTTGCTGAAGTTTTTCCAAAAAGTTTTTCGTTTCCTTTATTTGAATCTCTCTGTTCCGGAGGATTGACAGTAGTAGATTTGGATCGGGTTTTTTGAAGGTTTGCTGATTTTTTGGGACTTGGTGATTTTGGCGAAAGAGATGGTCTAGGAGAAGGTCTAGGAGAAGGTCTAGGAGATGGTCTAGGAGAAGGTCTAGGAGATGGTCTAGGAGATGGAGAAGCAATAATTTCCTCCCTAAATTGTTAAATCTCAGATATTGTAGACTGTTGGACTCAAGTTAGCAATTGTGCAGTGTACACACACCCATTTCACTTAATAAGTGATTAAATAAGTTGCTGTTCACTTTATAACAACATTAAATGCTTAAAAGGACTGTAAAGGAAAAATGAAAGGGGGTATAGGCTGAAAGCTAATCACTTTAGCTCTTGATCGCGACCCATGAAAGTTATATCTGATGTTCTTGTAGTTATATAGCACAAATATGTGAAGTACACCTGCAGTATGGAAACAGTACAACAAAATGGCCGTTTTACATTTTTTAGAGTAAATTCCACTCTAATATATATTCTATTCTCTTTGTCTACACAACTAGCTGCATTCTCAGCTCAACTACCATGTCTAGTCAGACACTCCCTTTAAATGGACATTAGACGTGGGTTTTCTTTGAATTTGAAGCTTGCACATGAACAATTATAATGCCCTGCAATATTTTGAGATTACATCGTTGTTGTATATTTACCCAGTTCTGCTTCCGTTATATTTTCCGTCAAATATTCTTCTTTCCTTTTCTTTGTTTGGTTTGGTTTGGCATGTTTGTTTGGTTTGGTTTGGTATTCTCGTCTTGACAATATGTCAGAAAGTCCGGCTGAAGAATCACATCTGCAATAGGATTTTAAAGTAAGAGTGAAACTATTTGACACTTTTTTCAAATCCACCTTGCAGTAATTCTAAAGCTTTCTTTGATACAATGAAACCCTTAAAAACGAATACATGGAAAGAATTCATCAAATGTTGTATTCTTCACTTTCTGATAATGGAATGTTGCAGATATTTAGTTTTTTAAACTAAATGATTATATGGAACTCTTTAAAACTGTTCCTGCATATTCATGGCTATTTATTTATTTTCGCAAATACTGAGATTTACGTAAAATAGTATAAAACCAATTGAAAAATTGTCAAGACGACATTTGATAAATTCTTCCTATGTATTCGTTATTAAGGGTTTCACTGTACATTTTTAAAAAAGATTTTATAATTTTTTGTTTTATAATATATATAAAAAAATTTCGTCAAAATAAATTAAGATGGACATCAAAATATCCGTCTGTAAACATATGTCAGACTTTCGAAAAAAATACTTATTTAACCATTATTAAAACAACTTTTGAACTATCGGCAAACGGTCAAATGGATGCTGTTCAGCGGTTTAAGACTTATCTTCTACTACCCATGTTAACATGTCTTGATAAAATTGAAAAATCGACCTTCCCTTTTTAAAATCATTAATTTTTAAAATTTTTTCTTTTACAAACAGTGTATCCTATATACCTTGATTTTTCTATTCCCAGTTCCTCTTTCAGTTTGGTTATCAGGGATTCTGTTTCATGTTTGTTCAGATCAAACTCTTCATTATTCATCTCGTAGCTAAACAAATACAAACATAGATTTTTAACTCAATTCATTAATTTTGCTGAATAAACTTGCTCAATGCAAATTATTTTATACTAGCTGAAGAGCCCGGCGTTGCCCTTGGAAAAAAAAATTTGAGAAAAAAAAGTTTGAACATTTTTTTAAGCCTTTGTCACCCCCCGGCTTCCTAGGAGTATCCACAAACAAATTCAGCCCATTCTGTCCAGTCGTTTGGCCGGCCAGAGGGAACATGTTTACGAATGTCTTGTTTTATTATATAGATACGTGTAAAAGGTCAATTTAGTGATTGGGACATTTCGAGACCTCCATTTTTAAAAGATCAATTGTTACTAACTATGCTTGCCTGTAGCTTGGCTAAGCCCCCTAGAATTATTAAATGTCGGCCAATACTTCATGCAAAAACAGGCTGAATCGACAACAGCGGCTGGTATATACAAATAAACGCATATAAAGTCGTCTTCCTCTTTCAGAGTGTTCTGGTTATCACTGTTATATAAGAGTGGCCGGTACTAGTAAATCCATGTACTAGTTTGTATCATGCAACATGTACCTGAGTACGGCCCTGAGCCCCTTCTCCGTATAGATGCCTCTGGGGGGAATAGGCTGATAACANAAATACGAATAAGAAAGTATAATCCGCGAAATATTTTGCCAGAAAAAACCCCCTAATATATGTACGCAAAAAAGGAGCAATTTAACTATATTAATTTTTTCATTTTTTTCAAAGAACCACGGCATTTACCTTGAGTCTTCTTGACTGCGAAAATTTAGTTTCACATTTCCACCTCCAGGGGGATTGGTACCACGTGACTTGTTGGTAAAATGGCGTCGAAGAGCCCGTTGGAGATTGTAGGATTTATCAGGATTGTCAGGAGTTGGTTCCCTGAAATTCAAAATAATGTAGAGTTTGATCTGAAGAAAAATGAAACAGAATCTCTGATCACAAAACTAAAAGAGGAATCAAGGTCAAGGGCGTATACAAGGGGGGGGGGAAGGGGGATAGCGCCCCTACCTAGAGCTATAACAATTTTCAAATCTGAAACTGAAGAGTGAAGAGTATTAAAAAAATTAATTTGTTTTTTTTCTGCTATGTTTTGTTTGATGGAGAGATAAAGTATTCCTTGGTAATTGGACTGTTGTATGTATACCTTTAAAGTATCCAAGAAGCCAAATGTTTTGATTTTACAGTTCAAATTTTGCCCCGTCCCTAGAAGCTCTTTCGCGCATATTTTTCCCCTTCTAGATTTATTTCTGTATCCACCCTTGATCAAGGTATAAGATACCGGATGCTTAAAGGGATTTTAAGCATAATTTCAAGTGATCCTCCATACAAAGATGGCTATGCCCGATTTACAACGGCACCCTTAACAGCTTTGTCTGATTAAGTATGTTTATTCATTTTCGGCTTCTCTGCAAAATTGACTTGCACATTATCTTGATTACAAAAAGAACGGAGATATTCACAGAAATAAACTCTCTTCAAGTCAGAAAATCAAGTTATCTTCTAAATTTTTGAACAGATTAAGGGTTTAAAGGGCAAGTTCGCGAAAAATGAAAGGGGGTATAGGCTTACGGCGAAAAATAAGCGCTTTTGATCGCTACTAATCTTACTTCTATCTGTTGATAATTGATAAAAACGACTCATACCGAAGAACGTAGAGTCCATTCGAATACAGAAAGTTGCAACATTCAACTGGGACGGATCGTAAAAAATTCAATTTAATTCCAAACAAATCATTAATATATTGCAACCAATACTCATCTATAATTTTTCGACGCATTGGTATATAGTTAATATTTCATAATATTTTTTATTTTTAATGATCTGATAGTTACATAAATGTATTCACAGTGGAATAGAAACATGAGAACACATGTATTCACTGTGGAATGAAAACATGGGAACACATGTATTCACTGTGGAATGAAAACATGGGAACACATGTATTCACTGTGGAATGGAAACATGGGAACACATGTATTCACTGTGGAATGGAAACTGGGAACAAATTCACTGCGGAATGGGAACATGGGAACACATGTATTCACTGTGGAATGGAAACTGGGAACACATGTATTCACTGCGGAATGGAAACATGGGAACACATGTATTCACTGCGGAATGGAAACATGGGAACACATGTATTCACTCTGGAATGGAAACTGGGAACACATGTATTCACTGTGGAATGGAAACATGGGAACACATGTATTCACTGTGGAATGAAAACATGGGAACACATGTATTGACTGTGGAATGGAAACTGGGAACACATGTATTCACTGTGGAATGGAAACATGGGAACACATGTATTCATTGTGGAATGGAAACATGGGAACGCATGTATTAACTGTGGAATGGAAACATGGGAACGCATGTATTCACTGTGGAATGGAAACTGGGAACACATGTATTCTCTGTGGAATGGAAACATGGGAGCACATGTATTCACTATGGAATGGAAACATGGGAACACATGTATTCACTGTGGAATGGAAACATGGGAAACACATGTATTCACTGTGGAATGGAAACATGGGAACACATGTATTCACTGTGGAATGGAAACATGGGAACACATGTTTTCACTGTGGAATGGAAACATGGGAACACATGTATTCACTTTGGAATGGAAACTGGGAACACATGCATTCACTGTGGAATGGAAACATGGGAACAGATGTATTCACTGTGGAATGGAAACTGGGAACACATATATTCACTATGGAATGGAAACATGGGAACACATGTATTCACTGTGGAATGGAAACTGGGAACACATATATTCACTGTGGAATGGAAATATGGGAATACATGTATTCACTGTGGAATGGAAACTGGGAACATGTGTATTCACTCTGGAATGGAAACATGGGAACACATGTATTCACTGTGGAATGGAAACTGTGAGCACATGTATTCACTGTGGAATGGAAACTGGGAACATGTGTATTCACTGTGGAATGGAAACTGGGAACACATGTATTCACTGTGGAATGGAAACTGGGAACATGTGTATTCACTGTGGAATGGAAACATGGGAACACATGTATTCATTGTGGAATGGAAACATGGNATTTTTTCCTTTTCGCCCCGATCTCTAAACTTCTTGAATCCTCTAGACCAATCCCTGCTCCTCAGCCTAAATCCCTCCAACCTAGCGCCTCCGACCTCCGATCTTGATCCTCCAACCTCTCTCTCCTGCGCGTCCTCGAATCCCTCCAGATGCAAACGAGCTCCAGCCTCAATAGCGCGCAATCTGGCTTTTCCTCTTTCCGCCTTATCAAGAAGTGCAATTACGAGAAAAAAAGGTAAATATTTTGGTTAAAGAATTTCTTTGTAAAAGAAACTGTAGACGTAATTTCAAGTGACCTTCCATTGATGAATGGCATGTTCGATTATCAATCACAACGGTATCCTTTAGACTTTTATCAGAGTGTTAGATTCTGAATATTTCATTTAATGTCTCTGTTACATGAATTTGATACTTTTACAGAGCATTTACAATTAAAAATAATGAATGACATTTTTATAAAAGTGTTTGTTAAATTTTTTTGTTTTAATTTTTCTAAAAAGAACTTTTTGTTCCGAGGTACGTTACTTTAAATATATACAAAACATATACTTTACTTTTTTCAATGTGAAGTTTGAATTTCTAAGCTCTCTGCAATTTTCATCATTTTCTCTTGTTTTTGCCCTGTAAATTTATGTCTTCCCTGTACCTGTTCCATCAACCAGGATTGGTGTTCTTTCTTCCTAACTTGCTCTTCATCCTCCTCCTCCCCATCCTCCCCCTCTTCATCCGTCCCCTCGCCCTCCCCTCCTGATATAAAATCAAAAATACAGAGGTATTAAGATGAACATTTTAGAATTGTGGATATTGAGATCTATGATTGATCTCCTCTTTTCGTTAATCTTAAGTTTATTTTAATCTTTATAGTTAGTATCCGGGATAATCAACGAGGTCATAGTATATGGAGTGATAATGTACGATAATCCTTTACTAATTGTACAGGCCATGTACTCCACTTCCAAAGGTCAATCTATATGTTACAGTGCTTGGGGGTGATTTCTGAAAATATTTAAATGGAGAATTTGTTTTCCATGTAACTATTAAAATCCACTACTCCTTTATTGGGTTCAGGATTCCATTTTCACAGGAAGACAAACTATTACATTCTTTTACAGAGCAATTTTTCATCGTTAATAAACTGTTCTGAGAAAACTGAGTAAAATTCAGGATACAAAGCCTCCCCATACACTTGTACTCCGAAAGCGTACTACATATATGATGTTTGTACTGTATGAATAGCTAGGCCTTAATCTCTTAATATCCTTTATCAGTAAACTATCCCAAGGCTAATACACAAGGAGAGGTATGCTAAGATCCAGCCTCCCTGGTTAGTAAACTGAAGGTGTCTACCTCATAACCTTTGTCGTTTTCTGTCACAAAGTTCTCCTTTTCATTTTCCTGTAGCTTTCTCCTCCTAGATATTAACATTATTATAACATTATTCTTTTTTTGGAATAAATCTTTTAACAGGTTTAAATATCGCTTTGCGCCCCAATTTCATGTAAACATCTCATTGTTTAGTTTATTTACCTTGGTGGTTGATAATTCCTGTTGTACCGTACACGAGACTGTACATTTTCTAGTTCAGGATTGGTTGGCACATTTACAGGTTTGGACGATGAACGCGGCATTGTCGAAGCGTGGTAGATTTTTGCGGAATTCACTCGAACAAGTTTTGAGTTGGCAGGTCTCAGGGGGGTGATAGCAGATGTCGGACGAACCAATGTTTTGGCAGATTTAAGATTAGAGGTACTCGCAGATTTTGCTCTGGTGGGGGGTTGAACAGATTTAGGTACAGAGTGTGCGATATTTACATCTTCAAATTTATCATATTCTTAACTTATTATTGAAATGAAAAAAAAACATATTTTTTGAACGCCAACGAACATTACATATATATATAGTAAATTATTTAGTCATTTACTTGAACTTTTTACATCGTTGGTCGGATATGTATAATATATATGGGTTTAGAGCTTAAAAATAGTTTAGACTCTAACCCCCCCCCCGTTAAATTCCCTTTCCCGAATTTGTCGCAAAAATATGATAAAAACCTAAAGGCTTTGATTTTAGTGGCCCAACTTTTCTACCGGGTTCATTTTCAACGCAGGGTTTCCGCCTGCAGTTTAGTTTTAAAAAATTAAAGGTAATCTAAATCAAAATATTGCTTATGAAGGACAAAGTTAACTATTTAAAGGGAGTGTTCGCCAAAAATTAAATTCGATATCGATCGCTACTAAATTTACTTTTATCTCTGTTGTGTACCATTTTCTCCTGATATATATCGCAATAAATTTAAGTAAAATTAATAAGGATCAGAATTGAATTCAATTCGATACCAGCCTTATACTCCCTTTCATTTTTCGCGAACACGCCCTTTAAGAGTGTCCCTAAAACGAGACATACTAGGGTTTTTAGATTCAAAGTAAAAAAGTCCAAAATTTTGAATTTGATTTATTTTCTATGATATTTAAACTTTTGCATGTTTTTTTTCTTTTACATTTTTTTCATTCCTGAATTTAAAGCTCTGTTCACTATTGATAAACCGGCTGCTGTCGGGACGAAATGAGTTCAAGGTTCGGTTCGACCCTTTCCTACTCAGCTGGCCAGAACCCTGACAGACAAATCAATCGGCATTTTAAATGTCTAGCAAGTGAAAATCCCCGAAAGTGTAATATAAATGCACAGGATTTATGACTACACATCCACTTCTAATTTTATAAAATACAATATGCCTTTTTATGTATAAAACCAAATTAATATTGTACATTAATTATGACCTGGAAATCCATTAAAAGGGGTTGAAGGTTGAATTTTGACATAGTAAAATTTCTAATTGTTGCAAATGATATATTTGTAAAAGTTTTCGAAGTTTATAGTTTAGTTGAACTTGCAATATTTCATATTTGGTTAAAAAACAAGAGAAAAAGACAAGAGTTTCACTGCCTTCTGGTTCTGTACTTTTTCAGTCAATCAAATCACATTGATTGATTAAGTCCCTGAGAGGAATTGATTGAAATTGATCTGAAGTAGGCAGGACGCACCCGAGATTCCGATCTAAATATTGGAAATAATTATTAATGTCAAATTAACAACCTAATCAATGCTATTTATCACTATTAAAGGTTTATAATTATTCAATTTTCAAAGTTGAAAATAGGGATATCACCTTCATTCTTGAAAATAAAGATCTTTAATAAGATGAAAAGTTTGACATTTATTGATAAATAACAAATTTTTTTGATTTTCTAATAATGCGAAACTGTAAAGTTTAGCAGATACAATTGGCGTACACAATTTAAATTCATAAAACCGGATTGAATCAAGCATGTTCCTTACTTAATAGAGGGTTATTTGAAAGCTTTTTTGTAATACCTTCTTAATTTCAACTGTAGTTCTTCATTAAGTAATTTTTCCTTGTCCGAAACCTCCTATAATTACAAAAGGTTTTTTTTCTAATTTGAATTTCTTCCTTTGTTAGTAATTAGTTAATGCCAAGCAAAATTCGATAAAAAGTATATCAGGAAAAAAGTTTTTATAAAAAATAATTTTTTTGTTGAAAGCATTTTTTTAGAACGACTTTCAGATAGTTAATAAATATCCTCTTTCTCTTTTATATAAACAATATAAATTATAACAAACATGGCTGAACTCAATATTATTAATAATAAATATCATTTCAAATTAAAACTATTTATAGGAAATAAAAATCAAGAGTTCAGAAAAATTTCATCAATCATGGCAAAAAACATACAAATTTTTTTCTTCTTTAAAATCCAATTTTTTCCAAATTGTTTTAAAATTCCACGGGCAACGCCGGGCACTTGAGCAAGTTTCTTTTAAAAATCATTCCTTTGGTTCTCAATCCGCATCATTTCCGAATGCAAGTTTTGGTGGGATGAAAATTGCATGGGATATACAGTATGTACAGTACTTAACCCATTTCTTGCTTGTACAGTACTGCTAAAGTGTGTAGGGCCGCTCTGCGCACTTTGGGACCGAAACCAGGCTTCTTCTGCGCATTTAGTAGTTAGCTGTTGATAATGATACTGGTACTTCTTCTGCTGGTTTACAAAATTTTGCTGCTGTTCACCGTCTTTCAGCGCCATAGAAGAATGTTTTATCAGCAAGCGCTCTTGTCGTTGCCTGGCATCAAGTCCAAGGGTATACTGATTATGTTCTCGATGGTCTTGTTGGTGTTGATGGTGTTGATGGTTTTGATTGTGTTGATGGTGATCATTTATCCAGTAACCATCTTCATCCACATCAAACTCATCAATATGATCAGCACTCAGGTATCTGAAATATTTAGAACTTCTGGGTCACCCATAAAGAATAAGATATTAATGAAAAAGGTTGTTAAAAATGGTCTGCTAAATAATCTGGCAGAGAAAGAAACAAGTTTCCAGCTGCAGGGAATCAAATCTGTGAAAAGATTGTAATGGAAAAAAAGTTTAATGGAAAAAGCGACCTCGCTTGTTGCGTGCGCTATTTTTATCTTAGCTAAGCGATTGTGGAAACCTACTGGACAGTTCTTGTGTTTTAAAGCGATTGCAGCGCTCTAAACACCCCAAACAAAGTACAAACAACCCAATCGTTGAAAACAAAGAAAACAAACAAGAAAGGTTTGATTTTGTACAGAGTTACTCACAAAGGATGAGACTGTAAAGACGACCCAAAACTCTAGAAATATGACGATTTTAAGCTTAGTTTTTAGTTTCTGTATTTAATGGAGTTCTTAATGGTTTACTAAATGATGAAGCATAAACATGGGAATTCAGTAACGAATTCGATATCGTCTTTTTAAATAATTCTTTGATTTAGTATAGTGATACCTCCTGCTATATTCACATTTTGTTTATGTTTTGACTGCAAATGCGATTGTACTTAGTAAAATAAGAAAATTGCAGTATACAAACAGAGTAAACATGTCCGTCTTCACTGTTCATCTTGCGGAGACATTATAGACACATCTTTGCAGTCTTTTACCCTTTTCATAAAATAAACTATAGCAGACATAATAATATTATGGCTTTTGAAATTAGGTATTACAATGCTAATTCATAACAAAGACGATATCGAATTCGTCACTGAATTCCCATGTTTTTTGGGACACCCTGTACCTTCTATTGGTTTGTGGAGTTGTATTCAAGGACCTTTGTGAATATTGTACTGCTAAACCAGATCCAACTCTGCTGTCAGGGCTTCTGGGAGCAGAAAGGATATTTTTAAAATAAATCTCCTAATTTGAGGAGGGGGGGGGGGGATTAAAGGCAGCATGAAAACTGTAAAACTTGACAGCTAAGAGACGCGTCTTATAAAGAATGGCTTTGAAATAATTTGTCAGCCTAATTTTAGAAACAAAACTCCTGAATTGACTAGAAATTATTGCTTTAAGAATCACCAAAGAGGTTAAAGTGTATAGAGTGATGATGCACGCTAATCCTTTTCTAATTGTATAGGCCTTTAACTATACCAGAAGCGTACTGCATACTTGTTTATTATAAGGAGATTCTGGCCTAACCTATAGTATATCAATATTAGTAAACAGTTGTAAGTGTACAGTACAGCTAACTGAGCACACAGGTAGAGAACTATCATCCCCCCTGAGAATCACATATGTAAAAGTTTCTGTAAATTTTCCATGTACGTAAATTTCTATTTACAGAGAAAATATTAGGAATATATTAATCATTTTTCTCAGGCAAAGGTTTTAATCGGACATTATTGGAGGGATACTTTAAATACGTATACAGTCCCTTTAAGTCTTATATTTTTAAAGAGACTCCTCTGAGCCCGTTCTCTCTATAGATATTGGTCGTGTAGTTCACGTACTTTGGGGGACGATATGTTGGCCGCTAGATGTCTCATGCTAAATTCTTATCTGAATCTGATAGATTTCTCCGTACATTTGACGCCCAATATAGGAGACGTCAAGTTGTCGACCAATGTAGTTTATGGAAGGAACGACCTCTGTTCTATTGTTGATTCCAATATACAGGGTTACCCTTAAAGGATGAGACTTCAGAGACGACTGTACAGAATGCATGCAGACATATTTCTCACATTCTTGGTTCACCCGCAACTTGAAACTTGTTTCTTTCTTTGTTAAATCAAAAAAGCAAATCGTTGCAGGCTCATCCTTTTTGGGTAACCCTGTATGCATAGATTAATAACAAAACAGATAGAACACTAGATGTCGTCTTATTAAGATTTACGGCTTTTTCGTTCACAATAACCCTGAGGCAGAACCCCAAAAGAATTCCACGCAAACGAAAAAACCCTAAATTTTGAAAAGACGACATCTAGTGTTCTATCTGTGTTGTTATCAATCTATGCCTGTATGTATTCCTAATATATACCCGGCTGAATTAATACTTTAGAAATAAGTCAAAAAGAAAAATTCCACTGTCCATATTATTGACAGAGTGGAATTATAAATATTAAGTGAAGATATACTTTTCAGTGGTTTATTTAATATGTACATATACTTAATAATAAAACATCGTAAACTAAGCATATACCAAATAGTTTATCAAGTACAATAGCTGTGGCAACGGAGAAATGGACCACGACGTCACAAGTGTTAAATATAACAAGTAAAACGAAATTTACTCACATTAATTGACATGTTTTCCAAGATGAAATAAAAAAGTGTAAAAACAGAAAATAAAGAAAATATAAAATTGCACTTATTTTACTGTAAGATACGCATTTTATTCTAATATCATCACTAATATTAATAATTTTGTCGGACACAAAAACTAAGTTGACACTTGTGACGTAAGAATACAGGTGTACTGAGAGTGTACAAATTCTGCATTGCCATCTATTGTACTATAATCTATTTGGCATATACTATATATATATATATATATTCTAAGATAACTGTAAACCATGCTCCGATCTAAAGTTTAGCATCGACAATTTACAGGGCGAAAACATTGGGAAATGGATAAATTGTATGTTTTTGTTTACAGAAAGATTTAAAATTAAGATTCAAATAACAAAACTCACCAGTCACGCACCTCTGCCCCTTTAATAAAAGTAAATTCAACCTATACGAAAAGTCTGGCCGCGTCAACCTTGTTGCACCGGCTAGTCCCGTCCATAGAGCTAGTTACAGTGCAAACTGGGACCAGAATGGTTGACCCGGCTCGTAAATTCAAATGTACTACGGCTGCCCATGCAATCTCTGCCAATAAAAATTCAACAAAAGCGTAAAATAGAAAATACTAAAAAAACTAAATTTAAAGCATAAGCGTAATAATAAAAAACCCTCCACCCAAAGAGGGCAATGTCAAATTTACAACGGTACCCTTGAAACCTTAATCTGTTAAAAAATTTGGTTAGTAGCTGTAGTACATTTGAATTTCCGAGCAGGGTCAACCTTTCTGGTCTTAGTTTGTACTGTACCATAGCTCTATGGACAGGACTAGCCGGTGCAACAAGGTTGACGCGGTCAGACTTTATGATTCATATAGGTTGAATTTACTTTTACTGAAGGGGCAGATTTGCTTGCCTTATCAGTTTGACTTCCTATACTTACAAAGAGTCCAGAGCTGACACACAAAACAACTTATTATTGTTCATTAAATAATACTTCAAGAAAATATATGATTAAACACAATAAATTATATATTAAAAATGTTATGCATAAAATTCCTTTATTGCATGATGTCAATGAAACATAAAATATCGGATATTTTCAAAGTCTGGAACACATCGAGAGCTATAATAAAAAATGTGTAAAAAAAACAATATCAATTTACAAGTTACTCTCCATATACCGAGTATTTAAGCTGCGGCTTTTTCAAGATTTAAGCCGGCGCTCAATTGAAACCGGTTTTTGGTGGATTTGAGACGCGGCTTAAATTCATTAAAATCGGACTCTGTTCATACAGAGCTACCCACAATGGCTGCATCTTTAAGGACAGCCTGAAACTCTTTAAACTTTTTAATAGAAATGATTGTTCCCTTGAATGGAAACATGAAGATAAGAAAAAAACTAAATAAATTCCGCACAGTGGTCTCTGAGCCCGAAATTTAAAAGAGTATCGTTAAATGAAACCCCCATAGTTTAACATTTAACATTTAAGTTGATTTTAATTTAAGAGATTCGGAGAATATGAAGAAACTAAATATATAATACTTCAAAAATATTGATATCAACAAAACTGCCTAACCCCATTCGTGAAACCCGGGTTTCAAAACTGGTTTTTATAACGATACCCTGTCTTAAGTTTTGGGCTCAGAAGTCTCATCCTTTGTATGTAATTGCTGCTTTTTATATATATATATCTATATATTGTATATACAATATATAGATATATATACAGACTAGCTGAAGTGCCCGGCGTTGCCCGTGGGATTTATTCTAATCAATTTTTGAAGAAAATTAATTTTGATTAAAAAAAAATAATTTCGAATTTTCTTAGCCTATGTTAACCCCGAGGTACTCAAGAGTTCCTTTAAAAAATTTCAGCCCATTCGGTCCGGCCGTTTGGCTAGCTATAGCTAACATATATACAAATATATATATAAGCGAAGAGCTGTATTACATCTCTATATGAGAAAACAAGACATTTGTATATATGTTCCCAATAGCCGGCCAAACGGTTGGACCGAGTGGGCTGAATTTTTTCTGGACACTCATGGGTAGCCTGGGGGTGACAAAGGCTAAAAAAATTCGAATTATGAAAAAATAAAATTTAATTATTATTTTTTTCTTCCACGAACAACGCCGGGCCCTTCAGCTAGTAGATTATATATCTATATATCATGTAATCATATCTTTCTAGTAGATTATATATCTATATATTATGTAATCATATCCTTCTAGTAGATTATATATCTATATATTATGTAATCATATCCTTCTAGTAGATTGTATATCTATATATCATGTAATCATATCCTTCTAGTAGATTATATATCTATATATCATGAAATCATATCCTTCTAGTAGATTATATATCTATATATTATGTAATCATATCCTTCTTTCCTTGTTTTAGAACTTCTTCGCTGTTTTCTTCTAAGTCTCAACAAAAAACTCTAAACAATTAATTCAATAGATTTTCCCGACATTTTTTTTTAATGAATAAAAAAAATGTTTACTCTCAAATTCATTACACTCTCCTCCAGCTCATAAAAACGTTCTACTAATGATAAATGACGTTTTTCCAGGACAGTAAAAAACAATTACCTATAATAACAATAATTTACATACCATGTTCTGTTTATAAATGTTTTAGTATGTACGTCATTGAAAATTTACCCGACCCTTTTTCCTTTTTATTTTATATGATCTATATTCTATATTTATATTTACTGTTCATATTTGTTTGTATCCAAAAAGAGTCAAAAGGGCTGAACAAATCAAACCAACGGAAATGGGTCTTTGCCACAAATGGTCTAAGTTTGAAATTATTATAATTATTATTGTTATTATTATCATTATTATTATTAGTATTATTATTATTATAGAATTGAAAGGAAAGGTATGTTAGAGGATTGAAAGGAAAGGTATGTTAGAGGATTGTAAGGAAAGGTATGTTAGAGGATTGTAAGGAAAGGTATGTTAGAGGATTAAAAGGAAAGGTATGTTAGAGGATTGAAAGGAAAGGTATGTTAGAGGATTGTAAGAAAAGGTATGTTAGAGGATTAAAAGGAAAGGTATGTTAGAGGATTGAAAGGAAAGGTATGTTAGAGGATTGAATGGAAAGGTACGTTAAAGGATTGAAAGAAAAGGTATGTCAGAGGATTGAAAGGAAAGGTATGTTAAAGGATTGAAAGGAAAGGTATGTTAGAGGATTGAAAGGAAAGGTATGTTATAGGATTGAAAGGAAAGGTTTATCAAAGAATTGAAAGGAAAGATTTGTTAGAGGATTGATAGGAAAGACTTGTTAAAGAATTGAAGGGAAAGGGAAAGGTTTATTAAAGGATTGAAAGGAAAGATTTGTTAGAGGATTGTAAGGAACATAGGGTAGATTGGAAAATTATGGCAAAGGATTGAACAGAATTAGAAGTAAATAAAGGTATTGTAAAGGATTAAAAGGGAATGTATGAGCAATGGCTAAAAGGAAGGAGGTATCCAACAGGAAAGGTTTAATTGTAAAGGATAGAAAGGAAAGGAAGGACGGGATAAAAACCGAAATAGGGTTAAAAGAATAGGATCGAAGAAAAAAGGCTAAATTGGAAGATATAGTAAAGGATTAAAAGAGACGGAGATATATGGGCTAGATTGGAAGGTATTACGGAAAAGGATTGAAGATTAAGAAGAAGGCCAAATTGGAAGGTGGGATTGTAACAAAGGAAGGTTTTGGCTAGATGGGAAGGTATTACGGTTAAGGATTGAAAGGAAAGGATAAGGCTAGATAGGAAGGTATAACGGAAAAGGGTTAAAAGGATAGGGAGAAAGAAGGCTAAATTAGAAGGTGAAGTAAAGGATTGAAAGAGACGGAGGGCTAGGTGGGAAGGTATAATGGTAAAGAATTGAAAGGAGAGGAAGGTTGGGGTGATAGGGAATGCAGGGAATATAAGGAAGGAAGAGGGTAAAAGGACTGGATATGAAGGGGGGGAGACAACGGGAACGAAATGTAAAGAAATGAAAGGTATGTATAGTGCAGAGAAACTAATTGTTTATTAAAAATACCTTTGGTGTGTGTGTGTCAATAGTAGGTTTAATACTGTGGAGCCGTCTAAAGTAAACATTATATCAATAATAGTCTCGAGGTTTAAGCGAGAGAAGGAACGCAATCCACACCCGTTTAGCCTTGGACCCGACGTCAAGAAATGAATTACCCAGATGGCTTCCGAACCACATCAATTCTGTCTTCCGACCTTCACCCATTTTGTCATCTGGGTAAGCTTGAAGCCGCAAATCCATGTTGGGTTTTTGCCATTTTCTATTGTGTGCATATGCTCCGTAAAATTCGGAAAACAGAGAGAGGGGGATTGAATTTTGTAGATCCAGAAAAATAATTAAATTAGTATTTATTTAGGGTTAGGTTAGGTTAAGATACTTTCTGGGCCAAGCCCTGCGGCTAGGACAGGCTAGGGGGCCGAGCGCTGCGGCCACGGGTTATCATCCTCCTATCAATTTTGTACATGGATTTCACATGTAATACTCACCCGGACCAAATATAACGCCCGGGCCTTATTTAACGTGACACCGGTTGCCTTCCTTTCCTCTATAAACAGGGAAAAATAAGAATGATTGGACCTTACTTCCATAGCATGTGATTAAAAGACATTATTAGCGGATCGTACGCTAAAACATTAGAATAGGAAGACGACATTAAATCAATACTAAAGTCAATTTGATGTTGTTACAAAGCAAATAGCTTTACTAGTAAGTTATTTAAGCACTTATAAAGTGAAACGGGTCTGTTTACAGCACACAACTGCTGTGCCTCATGTTCATTTGAATATTTAACGTCAAAACTGGAGTCTAAAACCCGACTTCCTATTCCAGAGTTTTCTGGTTATTCGCGAAACATAAAAAGGGGGCTAGGTTGATTAGTCGCTAATACTAATAGGCAATTCATCTGTACCAAATACAAGCAAACCATAGGTATTTTTTACGTCGCCTGCCGGGAAATGGTTTTATACGAATTTATCTTTATAGTAATGTAAGTAAGGATTGAAATTGTGTTTAAAACTACCTATAATGATTTAACAGTCCAGGATCCAACATTGTTTTCTGAAATATTATTTTGTAAAAATACTTTCAAGTGAAACGGACTGTAAGTGAAATTTTAAGTGACCCTCCATGCAAAGATGACAATTCTTGATTTATAACGGTAAACGGAAACCTAAATCTGATAAAAAACGTGGAAGATAACTTCGTATTTCTAAAAAATGGCTATTTCTGTAATCAAGAAATACGCAAGGCACTTTCGTGATAAACAGCAAATGAAAATAAACAGTTTAAAAATTTTAAAAACATGAATGTCTATGTCTTGATCAGACAAAGCTTTTAAGGGAACCGCTGTGAATCGGGTATGGAATGTTAATTGAAATTACGCTTCCGGTTCCTTTAAGAAATCTTAATTTTCAAGGAGTGTCAAAAAAGTGTTGAGAAAATAAAAAAAAATATTTCAAATCAGATATCATTTAAATATTTAAATATTACATTTTTATTCTTGCTCAGCACACACGTGGAATTAACGGTTCTGTCAATATTTCAGAAAGCTGTGCCTATCGATCACAATTTGACCCATTCAACATCATTTTTTAGCCTTTTGTCTTAAATACATTTTTGTCGGCATTTGCATTTTGAATGAAAAGTATAGAAGATACAAATCCGTATAATTGAATAATAGACCAAAACACGTTTGATTTAAAATAGAAGAAACCGAATGCTGCTCACTCTGGTTAGTCCGGTGTGCACAGTGCAGTAAACTAAAACGTTCAGTTGACAAGTACTCTTTTGTAGCTAGAATTCAGCGCGGTCTCAATTGTACATTATCCATATCAAGGAATTATAATGCAAAGAAAGTTATTTCAGAGGTGTACGAATCTTTTGTACTGTCTCTGGGCGGTAATGTAAACACAAGACGGATGTCAAAGCCTGACATAGGATCCACCTTTCACATAAAAAATCAATGAAATTATCCGGTCATGGAAACTATTATGTAAAATATCAAAATTATCAAAATATAGTGCTTGTAACCTCTTCGGATACTAAACGAACACTGCACATCTATTAATTTTTACAAATTCCGCCCAGAGAGAACTGGTTTCAATATGTACGCAGAGTATACGCAACTGCAATTAACTTTCCTTGCATTATAACTTTGATCCATATAGTGTATGTCTAGTGCTACTATAGTGTGAGTTATATATTGAGCTCAAACCGAGAGGTAAGGCGTTGCAACACTTCAAAGTCAATGCAAATTTAGAAGAAAAAATAATATAAATGTTTAAGAAACAATTGCTTTAAATTCTTTTAATCAGATCTATCTTGGCATAATATTTATTTTAATATGAATTCTTTCTTAAAAACATGATATCATTAAAATATGATTATTCTCGAGACAGTTTTATTACGATCTGATCTTTCAGACTTTTTTGACGGAGTTTTATTTAAATATGATATTTTCTTGACATAGTTTTATCACGATATGATATTTTTTGATAGAGAGCATTTCTTACGACATGATTATTTATGACAGTGTTTATTACGATACTAGGCTTTCACAGGGCTTAGCGCCATCTTTTATTTTAATTTTAACCAGCGGGTTTATAAAAAAATGTTGTGGTTTTTCAAAATTTAATGACAATCAAATTTTGATGTAGGCTGATTTTTTGAAATTTTGATCATTCATAAACCTTCTCTGCGCCATGTTAGGTCCCACACAAAATTTGGGCCCGATCATTTCTGGCGTTTTGACGTCTATTGAATACAAACACCCAGACAGACAAGCAAAGTATATAAATAGACTAGGCTTTTAAGGCGCTTCGCACCCATCTTCTATTTCAATTGTGAACATTTTCTCTTTGTGTACATTGTAAAACAAAACAAAAAAACATGTTGGCGGATTTTATAAAAATTTCATGAATTTTTAACATTTAATGACGCCAGTTGAATTTTTGAAATTTTGGCCCTTCCCTGGGGACATGTGAAGTCCCACAAAACATTTGGGCCCGATCGGTTCATCCGTTTTGACGTTTGTTGGACCCAGACAAACAAACTAACAGACAGACACCCAGACAAGCAAAATATATATATTCTTTGAACTTTTAATTGTGGCTTTATCTGTGAGCATTTTCTCTTTAAACAGTATAAAAAAAATTTTAAAAAAGTTTCATAATATTTCATAATATTTTTTCGCGCATTTTCAAAATTTTACAAAAATAACTTTTAAACACAAACTTTTGAAATTTTGATTATTAATAAACCTTCCCTGGGTTCATGTGAAGTCCCTCACAAAATTTGGACCCGTTCGGTTCAGGGGCGTAGTGGAGGTTTAGCCTAGGGGTGCACTTTTGGCGCGAATTTTTTTTTTCGTGCACCCCCCTAACGGTTGATGTGCACTCCCCTTATAAAACCCGTATTAGGAAAAAAATTAAAGCTTAAAATCTATATTAATCTACCCTGACCATGATTACCAATCATACCATTATAAAATCCAGAAGTAAAAGAGCAAAAAACTTTGATTTGAGCTAAAAACAGCATTTTTTAAATGTTGAAGGGTTGGCTCAGTGCTACCAAATTATTATAATATTGATGGCTTGTTCTTGTGTTCACAAAAAAATACGCCCCTGGTTCGGTTAATTGGGATACAAACAAACAGACGACAAGCAAAGTATATATATAGAATAGATAGATTGATAGAAGATAGATGATCTTTTCTTGGCAGAGTTTTTAATACAACATGATCTTTCATGACAGAGTTTTATTACGACATGATATTTTTTGACAGAGTTTTATTACGATATGATTATTTTGACAGAGTTTTATTACGCTGTAATCATTATTTAAAGAAATGATCTTGAAAATACGACTGTACGGATTTTTATTTAGTTTTTTACCTGGCTCCCTGGAATTGTACACTTACTTCTCTTTTTACCAAAAGATTTAATTTTTGTGCCAACTTGACGAAATTTTACAGTGATAACCAGAAAACTCTGTCTCTGTCTCTTGCCCTGTTCTGTGTCCTGTCATGTGTCCCATCCTGCATGAGACACAGCAATTGTAAACAGACCTATTTCACTAAATTAGCAATTTATTAAGTGTCTATTCACACTAGTTGCTTTGAAACAACGTCAAATTTACTACAATGTTGTTTTCTGGTTATCACTGTACCTTCAGATTTTACAGATTTACTGCACGCTTTAAAATGAAGAAAACTCGAATTGGCGGAAAATAGGAAAAAATCCACGTAAATCAAAACCTTCCATTTCACTGAAATCAGAAAACTAAATCAAGGAAGAGAATTCCAGGTAGGGACCTGGGGGAGAAAGGTAAACAGAGATAGATAGATAGATAGATAGATAGATAGATAGATAGATAGATAGATAACCTCCCGTTTTTAACAGATTTGACAAATGCCGAAATGGTTAACTTCAATTGTTTTCTAGACTGTAAGATAAAGGGACTGTAAAGGAAAAATGAAAGGGGTATAGTCTGAAGTTTAATCACTTTATTCTAACAATTTCCTCCTGCAGCATAAATGAGCGTCATTTAACAAAGAAACCACGATGTAAAAAATCTATTTTTAAATAAAGGAGTTGGATATCTCATCCATTCCTGTGAATTAGACATGCCACTTGGTAAATATAGGCTCATTTGAAGCCATGTCCACAGTCACTTCTAAGTTTACTTTTAATTATAACTCACTATTTCCATCACTAGGATCAACTTTGAACCAAGCTAAGAACATTCCCGTAGCTCTGCCGAGTTTTCCAATCAAAATTTGAGCCAAATCGATTTGGAGGTTCATGAATTATGATTGGACAGATTAATACAGATACAGATTAATTTGTCTTTTTATGGCTTTTGAAGGATTTTGCCTGGAAAGGAACAAGTTGACAGTGGCAGAGAAAATGAATATAAGGAAACAGATAGTATGAATTCTGTACAATTGCTATTGTCAATGCTTTCTTATTCTTAATATACTTCATTCCTGCACTTCTAGATTAATAAAAAATATTTTATCTTATACAGAGGCCGAATTTAAAGAATTTGTGCCGCGGCTCAAATATAGTTGGTTCCACTTAAAATTCTATTCAGTTTTTCAAGATTTAAGCCGGTTCTCAATTGAAAACGGTTTTGGGTGATTTGAGAAGCGGCTTAAATTCATTTAATTCTGAAACAGTTCACTTGATAAACATTTCCCACAATACGAATGGGTAAATTGTTTATTAGCCGCTCAATCATAAACCTCGATCAAATTTCATTAATTGCACCCTGGCCTGGGCAGGAAATAAAACCCGAGCCTGCATTTTTTTTCATGTATTTCATATTCATTTCATATTTTTATTCAACTACAAAGCACGAGATAATACATATAAAAAATCACGATTTACTATGTAATTTGGACCCGCCTAACCTGAGTTGGTTGTTTGGATTGATTGGCCCATTATAAGCGGAATGGTTGTAACAGAAGAAGACAGCAATTAGACTAAGTTCATCCACATGAAAAACAGTTATTTTTTTTAAAGAAATAACTTGCATAACTATCTAAATAGTTTTTGAAGATTTTTTTTAAAGAGTTTTACAGATTTAGTTTCTTTAAGCTCTAATTCAAACGAATTCCATAATTTTGAGAATAGAGCGGAAGGAAAATATTCTAGCGTTTTAAAAAGAACCCGCTCAAGTTTATATGATTTTGTTCTATTTGGTTCAGCTAAAGAATTAAACATATCTAAGTCTAAGTCTAATATTCTAAATTTGAAATATAAATTATTTTAACCATCAGATTGCACAGATATTAAGATTAAAGAAGGAGAGATTGTGTCATTGACATGCATAGAGATCTCAGCATAGGTTCAATTGATATATTATTTATGAATGAGTGAGAGAACATATTGGTTACATTAGAAATCTCCATACAAACCAGCCTACAGGAGAACATTTTAACCGTCCTGGACATGAACTCTGCCATTAGAGATTTTATGACTGAACTCAGAGGAATGAACAGAAAAAAATAATTTTTATTGAATTGTAAACTGTAATTCATTGCCTTTTTTAAAAAAAGAGTTGTTTATGTCCAATTCTTTAAAAGGTTTAAATAACCCTCC